GGTCTCTGGACCTGCTGTGGGGGCAGCTCAGACTCTAATCCGGTCCTACTCCTGTGTGTTCTTGCCTACAATGTCCACAGCTATCAGAACTAGTGCGTTTTCTTTTGTGGGAGCTTTCAGTGTCCTTTTATATATTCTACAGACAGAGTCTGCCTAGTTGATCATGTGGATTTAATCTGCAGCTTGTACAGCTGGTGGGAAGGTTTTGGGTCTTCTTCATTAGTCACACTGCCCCTGGGTTTCAACTGTGGTTTTATCTCCAACTCTGTATGTGGGTCATCCACTGGGATTTGCTCCTGAGGCTGCCCTGGAGGCCTTGGGTTTGTCTCTGTGATGACCAGGTGTGGAGGTGGTGCAGCTGCTTGGGTCACAGGGGTTCTGGCAGCACCAGGTATTCAGGGGGGCTGGTGGCTGGGGCAGCAGGAAATATAGTGCTCTAGAAGGGTGTGGCAACCAGTATTGGCCAACACGCTCCAGTATTCTTGCCTGGAGAACCACCCTCCCTATCAGAGAAGCCTGGCAGGCCAGTATACAGGGTCGCAAAGATTCAGACATGACTGAAGCAACCCTGCATGCATAGCTGAAAAAATTTTTTTGCTTGTGGCAGTTCTACCCTAGTCAGAGTTGAGCGTGAAGCTGGCACAGCTTGACTTGCAGGGACTTGACTTGGCACAAAGTGTGCAGGGACATGGACTGCCTCCACCCCAGGAGTTATGGCCCTATCAGAATCTTTTTTTGAGCTTCTTGTAGCTGGCCATCAGAAGGCCTCTTTGGCCAGTCTTTCTCTGTAGCTCTGCCTGTTCAGGCACTTAGAGGACTCCCTTGCCTGAGTCTTTCTCTGTTGGGTGCATCAGGCACATAGAGGGCACCCTCCTCTCCCCACCGGCTGGGGTCCTGCTCTGTAGATCAGTGCATCAGGCACTTAAACAGGCACCCTGGGTGGGGTCCTACTGTGTGGTTCAGGGCATCAGGTGTTTGGCTGGCCAGCCTCTCTATTGTTCAGCTGCTGATGCTGGCATGTGGGGAGAGAGACTATGGTGATGGCTCCACCCCCTAGGCATGACTCAGCAGTATCGCCTTACTTCATGGCTGCCTGGCTTTCCTCCACAGGCATTTCCCATCACAGTCTCCTCCCTCACATCCCCTGGATTCATCTCTCCACAGTCAACAGCAGCCCTCATCCTGGGATTGCTCCACAATTCCTAAACTCCAGTTTCCAGCCACCGCGCCATCTAGGGTACCTACGCCTGCAGCAAGGACTGTCTGATTCTCATTCCATTTAGGCTGCCACAGATCAGCTGTTTCACTCTCAGCCTTAAATGTTTCTCCTCTAACCCAGACAATTGCCCCAATGTGGGAATTGGACCCCTGCTTCAGTTCCCCCACCTGCTGAGGGCAGGTCCAGTCCTACTAACAGTTTTTCCCCCTGGTTCCTTCATCCTACCAAGTTTTGTGTGGTTCTATATATTCTTTTCCACTAGTCAGGTACTCCTGTCCGCTCTCAGCTGGTGTTCTGCATGCACTTCTGTGTCTGAAGGTGTCTTCCTGATGTATCCGTGGAGAGAGATGTACTCCATATTCATCTACTTCTCCATCATCTTGTTCTTTCTAATGATTCGTTTGTGTTTTTTTTAATGTATAGGCTAGGCTACCATGAAGTAATTATATTGATTACACTAAGCTAGCATAAAGCAATCACATTGATGCTTCTTTATTGTCAATACATGAATCATTATACCTGTAAATAAAATTTTCACATAATATTTACACTTTTGATATCCAGTACTAATACATACAACATCTACAGTGATTTCTATTCATAACAAGACAATATTGATGGAGATACTGCCAAGACAGATAACTCATCTTGTATGTAGATGATGTAAACTTACGGTATAGATACATACAATGTGGTACTGTTAAATGTATTTTCTTTTTCTCATTATTTTCTCAATAACATTTTCTTTTCTCTAGCTTACTCTATTGTAAGAACACAGAACATAATACATGTATAAAATATATTAACCAACTATTTATGTCATCAGTAAAGCTTCCGGTCAAGAGTACATTATTAGTAAAATTTTCAAGGAGTCAAAAAGTATATGCAAATTTTCAGCTGCATGGGCAGAAGGGTGAGTGCCCCTAACCTCCGATATCATTTAAGGGGTCATCTGTATTTAAAAAATTAATTTATCAGGGGGAAGTATAATGTTAAAGCAACTGTAGAGCAAACCAATAAAAATAATGTTTGTTTCAAAAAATTAAGGAGAGATAGGAAAGGTAGCTATCAATTTAAAATAAAATATTCTGGAAACGCTATGATCTGCTTTTATTTTCAGGATTAAATGACAAAGCATGAAGAGGTAGAAAAATGAAAATACAGAGGTAAAGTAATTTTTTAAAAAAGGACAAATTAAGTAGAAAACAAAAAAAAAGTAAAGAATTCTCTTTTATGAGAAAATTTATAAGAAAAATCCTGAAAGCACACTTTGTTTTTCTGCAAATTTATGGCCCCTATCTTCTTTTAAATCAGCATCCTTACAAAAGGTATTCTTCATGATCAGAATGACAATATAATTTAATGCCCATATTAGGATGTTTCTGTCTAGAACAAATGCTAAACCACATAAACTACCAATACCACTGATATAATCAGGAGCATCCAGATAAACCAGAATGCTCATGTAGTAGGTTATGAGAATGAACACAATTCCTCACCCCTCTCTGTATCCCCATCTTTTCAGAGAGACTTTCAGTTCAGTTCAGTCACTCAGTCGTGTCTGACTCTTTGCGACCCCACAAACCCCAAGCTGCCAGACCTCCCTGTCCATCACCAACTCCCGGAGTTTACTCAAACTCATGTCCATTGAGTCAGTGATGCCACCCAACCATCTCAGCTTCTGTCATCCCCTTCTCCTCCTGCCCCCAACCCCTCCCAGAATCAGGGTCTTTTCAAATGAGTCAGCTCTTCACATCAGTTGGCCAAAGTACTGGAGTTTCAGCTTCACCATCAGTCCTTCCAATGAATACCCAGGACTGATCTCCTTTAGGATGGACTGGTTGGATATCCTTGCAGTCCAAGGGACTCTCAAGAGTCTTCTCCAACACCACAGTTCAAAAGCATCAATTCTTCAGTGCTCAGCTCTCTTTATAGTCCAACTCTCACATCCATACATGACTACTGGAAAAACCATAGCCTTGACTAGACGGACCTTTGTTGGCAAAGTAATGTCTCTGCTTTTTAATATGCTGTCTAGGTTGGTCATCACTTTCCTTCCAAGGAGCAATCGTCTTTTAATTTCATGGCTGCAATCACCATCTACAAAATGCAGCAGTGAAGTTTCCTACTACACTGAACCAACTGAATCCATCTATACCTGGGACAGTGTTAAGAAGTTCAAAACTCTTCAACCGAAGCCCTGGAAGATAGTAAGCTGATGCTTTTATTTTTTTAGGTCTCTTACTTTTAGGAACCAAGAATGTTCCATCCATAAATAATACTGGCTATCTTCAATGCTTACTTCTAGGAAGTTAAAAATCTATTCATCTTAAATGTTAACACTAATATCAACTTGCCTTTAAAACAGCATTTTACTTTACATATTATTAACAAAAAAAGAACTATGAAGCATACACAGAGCAGATATCATTACATTCATTTTACAGATGAGAAAATCAAATCATAGTGTAAGTGAAATGACTTTCACAAGTAGCAAGTGACCAAGCTACAATACTTATAACTACATATATAAACTCTCAGTACTCCTTTTCCTTAGAGCATTTATGCTAAAATCTTGGTCAGTATTGGCATTATCACTTTTTAATGTATTCTTTAATTAAACTGATGAAGTACTGTTTCCTTCCTTATAAAAGTCAGGCCTAAATGACTCAAGGCTTAAGAAACAAAATAATGCATGAAAAGCAAATAGCATAATCCCTAACACAAATGTTAGGCCCCTTGCCCCCACTCACCATGATACAGCTCTCTTCCAGACTTGACAATCTCAACCCTCACGGCATTAAGCATCACTTGAAATGATAAACGTTCACACAATTAGTATCAGCAAATTCATTTCTATGGTAGAAGCATTTATTTCAATTATACAAAAATAACACTATTCCAAACTCAAGGTAACTAAGATGTATATTTTTGCCTTATATACCCATACTCAATGTTACATATGGTTTCAAGACATTCTTAAATTAACAAGAATCAATTTAGAATCAAGGTAGTATCTGTCAATAAAAGAGACATACTAAGGCTACATATACTGGAAATGGGGAAATACAAAATGATTTCATGCAGTGATTCTCAATTTTAGTGTGCATCAGAATCATCTGGACAGTGGAAAAAGTACCTTTAGGAGACTGAAGGCAAATCACCAGATTAAGTAAACCCTCAGTCTCAGAATAAATACCAAAACGACTGACTAAAGATATAAACTTTGCTTCACAGGGAAGAACAAAGACAAAATACATCATGGTATATGAAATCAGTCATTTAAGTGAAGTGTGAATTCTCTAAGCCTCAGGTTCAGGAATACTACTACTCTCAAGACTTTTTCTACAGATTAGATCAGATAGTGTGCAATAGTGCTTCCCTAATTCATAAAACACCACTACTATCATTATTTCATCACCATCAATACTATTGGATACAGAGGACATTCTCCCCCACCCCCACTCCCAGTTCCAAATAGTTATTATCTATTTTAAAAATCAAATGACTACTTACTGGGTTCCAGTTCATTGACTACTGGCACCATTTTTAAACTGGTAACATTCTTACTAGCTTCAACCAAGCATATTAAGATTTCAGTACACGGTTGAAATGACAATTTTTGTCTAAACTACTGGCTTAGTCAATGGAGTCACAGAAGAAAGCATAAAGTTTACAAAAATGTGTGCTGTTTCTAAAGCACCAAAGGCTAAACAAATGAACTGCTTTGGAAAGTAACCCACTTTAGACAACCTCTGATGTTGCCTATATCGTTTTCTGACTCTCATATTATATACAGATGGAAACAAAGGAATAAAACATCTATAATCTTCATCACTTCCTATAGTCGATATACTATACAGACTCGATGGGCATGAGTTTGAGTAAACTCCAGGAGTTTGTGATGGACAGGGAGGCCTGGTGTGCTGTGATTCATGGGGTCGCAAAGAGTCGGACACGACTGAGCAACTGAACTGAACTGTTTCATAGTTAAAGTTTTGGGCCACTTAAGTAATTCCCACATAAATATCTGTGGTTTTAACATTCTGAAACTGAAACATAGCTAAAGAGGTGCTCAGTCAGGCTAAGACAGGGTTCTTCCATTTCAGCAATATTGCTATTTTGGTTTTGATCTTTTTTTTTTTGGTGGAGAGGAGGGTGGAAACTGTCCTGTGCATTGCAGGATGTAGGCATCCCTAGCCTCTACCTACTGCATGCCAGGAGCAATGTGCCCAACTTTCCAATTCTGACAACCAAAAATTGTTGCCAGATATTGCCAAATGTCTTCTGGGGGCCAAAGTCACCCCCAGTTGACAACTACTGAGCTAGAATTTTATACAGACATAATTGTAAACTCTGAGTCCATAGATTATGCAAGACTGTGTGTAATTTTACTAATTTAAAGAGTATAGTACAACAATTTCTACTATACTGTTTATGCTAGGGCACATAGTTTTCATAGAAGACTTAAGCATATAATTACCCACAAATAATCATCTTTTTCCTATGGAAAACACTAATGTTAAACAGGGGAAAAAAACAACAATACAGCTAATCCTGCAACCATTTTTAAACCTAAACCTATGGTTTACAAATATTTGATTAATGGAGACCTAGATAAATCACTGCAAGTGTCCTTCCTTCTGAATTCGTAGTCTCTCTTTCTCTACTTGTAAGCGTTCCTTTTCAATCTGTAGCTTCTCTGATTCAAATTTCAAAAACTGCAGCCTATCTTTTTCCAGTTGTAAGCGTTCTCTCTCAAGTTTTAACTTCTCGGTTTCTATATCCTGTGGTTGATGTATGGACTTTTCCCCTTGACCAAGTTCACTTTCCAAAGATGGCTTCTCTGAGTTGACTATCTGTAACCTCAGCTTCTCTCTTTCAATCTGCAACCGCTCCTTTTCCAGCTGAAGTCGCTCATGCTCCATGTCTAAATGTCGCAGCCTCTCTTTCTCAATCTGTAGGCGTTCCTTCTCTACCTGCAGTCTTTCAGCCTCAATATCAAGCCTTCGTTTTTCCAATTCTAGTTTCTGTTTCTCTATGTTTACAAGCAAATGGGGCTCATCATATGCAGACCTAGACGGTGTTGAGTTCAGAGTAAAAAATTCATCAATGTGGGGGAAATCAGGAAGTTCATTTTCCCTCCTGGAATCTGGTATGACTGATGACAACATTTCTTCTTCCTCTTCAATCTCAAACTAAAAGAGAAAAGCAGTTCTCAGTATTTATTGATATTCATGGTTGTTAATGTGTCTAGGCATTTCTTTAAAGCGTTCTGTATTTGAGCACACAAAACCATTTACTTTGAATTTTGAAAAATACTTACAATTGTGTGACATCATTAATATGTACAGTTAAAAGAGTACATTGAGGTGAGAAGAAATTAATTACAGTAAGATAGTAAAAAATGGAGTGACTCTGTTATGTACTATTTTTAAGTTAGCTTGAAAATCTGGGAATTTCTTAACTGTTCTTGGTCTATAACAAACTCTCATATCAGAAATGAAGAAATAAAAGAGAGGGTTCACATAGGCTAATACTTACTTCAGGACTCTGGGGATCTCTTTCTTCCTCTTCCACCTTGACCTCAGTTAAGGAACCACCTGCATCCCTGAAATCTGCCACATTTTGCCAATCAAAATTTGTATCACTTCGGAATCCAATCTTTTCATCTATCTCTTCAGTGAGAGAGTCATCTAAATCAGATGTGGGAAGGGGAAACCCTGAACCAACTAGCTTAATGTTCGCCTTCATCTTCTTTCTCTTCATAAGGGCTCGCCAGTCAAGGTACCTTCTTTTCACTTCTGTCCCTGTTCTCTGCTCTCCTTCTCCTACAGCATTCACACACTGTGCAATCTCCTCCCAAGCCATTCGCTTCATCACATTAATTGTTGTATTGAGTTGCTTGGAAAAAATTACTTCTTTCCTTTTCGTAATTTCTTTCAAAAGGGTCTGAGTTTCTTGTACACTGAAATTGCTTTTCCTTTTCCTCTTCAATTGCTTCATTTTCTAACTTAAATGTAGTTTTTACAGTAAGGAAAAATGTGAAAAGAATTTGAGGAATGCTACAAAGAACAAAAATCAAGGACAATTCCTTGTAAGTACTTTGTTTAAATCAGAGTTTTCCATTCATCTAGTAGCACAGGCAGGCTGGATGATTCCTAAAGAGAAAAAAGTAAAAATCAATCAACCTGCAACTTTTGCAATATACTTCAACCCAATAAGTTATGTAATTTAAAAACAAACAAAAGCCCTCTTAATATGGCTCAAAACTGACTACATTTTCTGTCTCTGCCAGCACTACCACAGTCGAAGCTACCATCTTCTCTTACTTAGGCTGCTGTAAAGGTTCCTAACTAACTGCCAGTATTCACTCTTGATCTGCTCCCTACTTCTGCTCTCCCCAATTCATCCTCTGTACTTTAACTGCAAAGGCCTTCTTTAAGTCACCCACTGTTGTCAATCTCTTTCCCTATTCAGGGTTTTTGTACACACTATTCCCTCTGCCTAGAAAATGGATTGTTCCCTGCTTGGCCTACTTAATCCCTCCTCATCTTTCAGCTTGCAGATTAGACATCTGCTTCTCAGTGAATCCTCTTCTGACAAGTAAATTACTCATTTTCCTCACCTAAATGTTACACTGTGCTAATTACAACTAAGACTCTCTTTCCCATTTCACTAGAAGTTCTAGGAAACAGCAACATTTTTGCTCACCATCATGTCTCGAGAGTCTAGCAGAGATTCTGGCACGTGGCAGGCATACATACTATAAACACTTTTGAATGAATAAATGAGTGAACCTGCCAAAGTGACCACTAAACATTAAAAAGCAAAAAAAAAATAAGACTGAAAGAGGGTGTACCTGAAACTTGTTAGAAAGGTAAACTTTTCAGGCCCCACCCAAGACCATTTGAATACAGCACTCTGGGGGCAAGATCTGGCAATCTATGTTCCAATGTCTTCCAGATGATCCTAATACATGCTAAAGTGTGAAAACCATGGTGCTGACCCACACCAGTAAAACAAATGCTTTACACACCTGATTCTCTCACACACTTTGATTTCAAGTCTTAGGTATCTCTTTGGTGGAATCTAAAGCACATTCAGATCCTCAATACAATAGCTGGGAAATGTAGTTTTTCTGCTATCTAACCTTTGCATTATGGGAAGGCACACAAACAAACTGGAAAAGAGATTTTAAAAGTATGTAATAAGGAACAAGGGCTTCCCTGGTGGCTCAGCAGTAAAGAATCTGCCTGCCAATGCAGGAGACAAAGAGATGATCCCTGGGGTGGGAAGATCTCTTGGAGAAGGAAATGGCAACCAACTCCAATATTCTTGCCTGGAGAATCCCATGGACAGAGAAGCCTGGCGGGCTAGTCCACAGGGTCACAAAGTTGGACACAACTGAAGTGACTTTGCACGCACGCATTCACACAAACCACATTTTCTGACTTCAAATTTACTCACTGATCACTGCTACAGAGCTTCTTTTTTCCCTCCTTTACAAAATGAGAGGGTAGGCTGAGGAGATGCCTTCCAGCTCTATCATTGTAGGATCATAAACATTTCCTGCCAATAGAAAGAAAAATACAAATATCCATTAAATTCCATGTCCCATCATTAAGTCTGAACAAAATTCTATATGTAGCCAGAAAACTCTCCAAAGTTTCAACCAGTTATGTTTCACTCTACCACAAAAACTTTAATATTTGCCAGTTTAAAATTTTACTAGTAGAGTGAAAAATACTTCTCTGGTAATTGACAATATAAATAGTATTTTCTACTGAAGCAAAAGTATGGTAATTAAGGTAACTAAATTTGATCAGTAAATGCACAAGTCTTTTCTATCACTGTTAATACTCTTCTCTCTGGGGTTTAAAAGTGGATGCAAATCCCTTATTTCTAAACTAATAACAATATATTTTTTATTAAGATTTCACTCTTGTATGCATTTTTCAAGTTTCCAGTAATACTTATTCAACTGATCTTGTGTGTGTCTAGTAACATCATCAAAAAAATGCCCACCAATGCATCTTCTTGTTTCTAACCATTGATGTACAGTAACCATCTCCTGAACTACTCCTTGATGCTAAAATGAAGACCAGAGAGAACTAAAAACTTAAAAGAGCAGAAAATAAACTCTCAAAAAGTCACTGTTAATTTTGTACACCCACAAAAAGAGCAAAGCAGGAGAAAATGGGGGGGGGGGGGAGACTGCAGCAAACTATTCTAAAGCAGACTTCCAATTACTTGAGACATTTAATAATAAAATTGAAATCCACTAAATTAGAATGTATAATCAAACAGTGGCAGCACTTTTGATCTTCTCTCAGGCAAATACTGCCATTATAGTCAAATATAAGCCTCTTGTCACTAGAGTATAAGCAAACATATTCATATATTAAAAAAGCATCAAAATAGGCTGTGGCTCAGTGGTAAAGAATCTGCCCACCAATGACCCCCTGGAGGAGGAAATGGCAACCCACTCTCAGTATTCATGCCTGGAGAATCCAATGGACAGAGGAGCCTGTCAAGTTACAGTCCATAGGGTTGCAAAGAGTTGGACACGACTGAGCATGCACACATTCAAACACACGGTGTAATGGTTATAAGCACAAGTTGTGCAGTCAGATGCCTGGTTGGAATCCTGGCTCTGGAACTTCCATGCTGCGTGCCTTAGTTATTTAATTTCCCTACATGCAATTCCATTTGTAAAATAATATTGTTACTTCATAGAGATACTATAAGGATTAAAGGATTTAGTAAAATATGGAGAATAGTTCCTGGCACACAGCAAGTTACGTTCACTATTGTTGCAAGAAAGGCAAATCTCTAAAGGAAGAGAAAGACCACAATAATATTGGTGTTGTTCTAGTTCATAGGTCAAATGGTAAGTCTGTTGGTCTTTATTACTATGCTTTATAACATTAGGAGTATATTGGAACCTGCTGATATGAGCTGGTGAAGATCACTGTAAACTCCCCAACTACATATTCAGTAATGTCATGTTGGGAACTAGAAACTGGCCAAGATGGCAGTATTTCCAACACAGAAATGGACAAATGTTACAAACTAGAATGTTCTTCTTTTCAGTGGTCAAGGAGCTGGTTTACTAGTATACTTAAAGCTACATGATTTTTCCATATTTCAAATACTACCTAATAAAAAACAAGAAAATGGAATGTTTTAACATCTGATCCTACAACAGTTTAGTGAACATTCCAGATGCCTTGTAATTTTAGAGGATCTCATTTAATTAGCACTGACCTAACATGGGAGTTGGTGATGGACAGGGAGGCCTGGCGTGCTGAGATTCATGGGGTCACAAAGAGTCGGACATGACTGGGCGACTGAACTGAACATTCCTTATGTAATTCAAGTTCTCAGTTGAGCTGGGCAAGTATACTGCTTTTCTCTAGAAGCAACTGAAGAATAATCATGAAATACTATATTTATGGGGCTTCCCTGATAGCTCAGACAGTAAAGAATCTGCCCACAGTGCAAGAGACCTGGGTTCGATCCCTGGGTCAGGAAGATCCCCTGGAGAAGGGACTGGCAACCAACTCCAGTCTTCTTGCCTGGAGAATTCCAAGAACAGAGGAGCCTGGTGGGCTACAGTTAATGGGGTTGCAGAGTCAGACACAACTGAAAGACTAATGCTTTCTTTCTTCACTATATTTATAAGCAACATAAAAAAGGAACTGAAGAAAACTGATTTACACATCATTTGCACATCATTAAACCAGCACCAATATACTTCTCTTTAGTACCTATAGAGCCACTGCATCACATTTCAAAGAATTAGTGCAGTCAAACTTCATTTCCTCCTTCCTCTACCATTTGCTCCACCATTATGAGGATCTAGAAGATGGTACCCCGCCTGCTCCAAAAGCAGTATCTTCAATACATCACACTGTGCCTAATAGGAGGTAAAAATACAACGTAAAGTAAGAAAGTGAATGGGGGAGGAGAAAGAGCAGAAAATGAAACAGACAATAACTTAAGTAAGGTAAGCTACAAAACAAACCGCTACGGGCAAAGTATATATTTAAAAGAAAAAGGCAGCCCAAGTCAACACAGGCAAGAAGCAGTTTATGAAATTAAGTGAAGACCTTAAACTACCTACCCTATGACTATACTAAAGAATATAACAGTTAACAAGTTATACAAAATTCTGAAAAGAAAATTTTAAATAAATAGGCTATGAAGAACTACTTAGACAGTATGAACCAATGAGGAGCAGATTATTAAAAATATATTTTAAAAACAGAATCAGCAGGTCAGATGCCCTTAAAAATAGAAAAGATTACTAAAGTTACATCAAATTCCATATCAAATTAAGGATGACTTTTTGTTTCCAAAAGATACAGAAATGTTTCAGATATTTAAATAGCTTCTTGAACCATTTTAAAAGCACTGTCATATTTAAAAGGTAGAAGTATGGTAAAAATATAAATATTCAATAAGGGATTAGATGAATAAACTGCAGTACAGCCACATAATGGAATATAATACCCATTAGAGTATGAATATGACTTAGCATAACATTATTAGTATGTTAATGCAAGCCGACAAAATCAGAAAAGGAATATGTATGTATGTCTATGCTGTATACATATTTACAGAAGCTCAGTTTTCAACCTAAGAACATTTCTAGACAGAACATGCTATGCCCTACAACAAGTTCACTCACTCTGTCCACCATCATTCACCAGCTCCAGAGATCACATATATAGTCATTTATCTTGGTCATATAGCTGTTTGTTGGCCTAGCCACATGCTTCCACTAACAGGCTGTTATAATCACTTACTTTACATTAGAAGCAATAAGGGATCAAAGATGAATATACTGTTTCTAACAAATAACCTATAATCTATTAAAACATATATGCATAAAATTTATATGAAAAACTTATAATGGCGACTATAAACTTAAAGTTTTGAATAGAGACTACCAAGGCTTGTATATTAACTCCACTACTTAGAAGCTCTATGATCTGAATACATTACTTAACCTTTTAAATTGATTTACTAATTTATAAATGGGAAAAATAATAGAATACTACAATATTTTGAGGTGTAAATGAGACAACCCAAACAAAAAGCTTATAATATCTAAGACATAATAAGCCCTTAACAAATATCAGCTATTATCCACTTCCTAACATAGTCTGGCTGAGAAGGCAATGGTACCCCACTCCAGTACTCTTGCCTGGAAAATCCCATGGACAGAGGAGCCTGGTAGGCTGCAGTCCATGGGGTCGCGAAGAGTCAGACATGACTGAGCAACTTCACATTCACTTTTCACTTTTATGCATTGGAGAGGAAATGGCAACCCACTCCAGTGTTCTTGCCTGGAGAATCCCAGGGATGGGGTCGCACAGAGTCGGACATGACTGAAGTGACTTAGCAGTAGCAGCAGTATAGTCTGGACATAGTAAATGAATAAGTCTTTACTCGATAAATAATGTGAATGTAAGAAAAGTGCACAAAGAGAACTATTAACAAAATAACCTGGGTGTTCAGAAGGTGTAATCTTTGGTGGGATCAAGGAAAGTTGTCAGAAGGAATTGGCATTTGATTTGAACGGACAGTAATACATGGCAGAAGTATCAGGAATCAAAGTTAAATAACTAGGCTGGGGCCAAATGTCAGGTTGACTTGAAAGGCCCTACTCTTTGCTAAGAAACTTACTGTAAGAGGCAAATATATCTGAAAATTCATATTTTTTTAAAATTCAACCAATATGCCTTTTATATGGAACCACTGTTACATAAACTACAACATACAAAATACAAGTGCATAATAAACGACATTGCAGTTGCCAACAGAATCCTAATTTAGACAAAAATCTGTAATCAGATTTTGTTGCTCTCAGAATGAGAGATCGATTTTGTAATGATAGAAATAACAATCCTCCTAAAACTATGCCTGAGTCAATATATTCCTAAAATTTGGGCAGCAGTTTCTATTATTTGCATATTCTGTGCACCCCCAACAATTTGCAACTCCATATCTCTATCCTACAAAAGTGGTATCCCTTTGTCTTTGACCTATGTTCCTAACTCTTTGCTCTATGCCAAACTGATGAACTAGTTCACTGATAAAATGCACTTTAAAAAAAAAATTTTGGGCTGACAGGCATGGCTTGTGGGAATTTCCCAACCAGGGAATTCTGGGCCACAGCAGTGAAAGCACAGACCCTAACCACTAGACCACTGAGGAATTCTAGACAAAAGGCATTTGCATTTTAACACACATTTTCTACCTCACTGAAATTGATATCAAAATGTATCTTAGACTTCCAGTCAGCCATGGCTTAACTGTGTGAAAATCTTTGACACCTTCTGATTAATGTAAGATAGTACCCAAATCAAAGCAACCTTGAGTTGACATTTGGTAGCTATGCTTGCGTGAATAGAAACTAAGCTATGTTTCCAGGAATTTTTTTTCTCTCTTCTCCTTTACATTTTTGTACTCATGTAACCGTTTGGGTTTTCATCATCCATTACCCAATAATTTTACTCAAATATATCAAGCTCCTACTATGTGCCAGGCACGTATTCTTGGTGCTGGGGCTAAATACCTCACAAAATATTTTAAAAAGCCGTTTTAGATGTGAAATACTATCCTTTTCATATTGGTTGTCTTCTTTATCTATATAAAAGGGAATTTAGTAGTTGCAACCTCTAAAAATTCATAGTTTTTCCACGCCCAATCACAGAGAACAGCCATTTTCCTGAAAACCCATTTCACAATCATTCTTTATTGGGTGGAAATAGGTGTAAGTAGTTCACTTACATAATCCTTGTGAAGATGGTGTACCACCAAAGGCGTATTACACCTGGGCAATTTTTTTCCAAGGACTAACACTTGAGAATGAAGTTCCTAAATACTGCACGATAAGACAGAATTAAGAGGTCTAAGGAAAATCGGGTATAAATTCTGGGTCCAAAATTTTTTTTTAGATAAATTCATTAGATTGTTCAAGAAGAAAAACATCACAAAATCTACAAACTTCCCCCAATCCTCTTTGAAGTGGGCTTCCCACCTCCCACCAACACCGGGCCCTACTGTCGCCACTATACTCTTAGAAGACATTCAACTCCCTGCCTATAACTTGTGGTAGGTAAATGACTAAAGTTTACTTAAGCGTCCCCTGTTATCACATTAATAAAGTACCTCTCACTCCCGTCATCGCTCTTTGGAACAGCCCCTTGGGAGAATCCAGGAAGGCTGAGTTCCCAGGAGGCCAGCCAGGAGGAGGGGGCGCGCCGCAGACTCCGCCACAGCCACGGCTGCACCTGACAGGCTACAGGGCAACCAGGAAGAAAGTGCTCGCTCCGCAAATCAGAGCCCTAACAGGGGCCCGGAAACTTCGCCAGCCTTGCTGCAGAGGCCTGAGCCCTCCCCACCCTCCCAGGTCAGGCTGCAGAGACGACTGCGATCTCTCCTGAGCGTTGTGGTCCGCGACGTTGCGAAGTCAGGTCCAAAGCCAGCGGTGAGGTGACCGCGGCCTGACGCCGCCCCGCTGACACCTACCGTCCGCGGAGACACCGCCCCCCTCACAGCCTCTTCCGCTGCACCGCCGCTCACCTGCAGGTCGGGCGGTGCCTCACCGCCGTCGCCTCTGGGGTGTGTGTGGGGCGGGGTGGCAGAGATGCTTTATCAATTCCCCGCCCACGGACTCGGCCCGCCCCTGCGTCTACGCCATTGGCTACCGCGGCAGCCGCTCGTCTAACGACGCTCGCCCGTTGGCCAGGAGGACGCTGCCGTTCTGGCTGAGGGCCCGCCCGGGTCCGGCCTCACAATGGAAAGCGCGTCCCAAGCCGTTCCGGGTTAGTGCCCTGACTCCGCCCCCCGTGACTCGGCCTCCCGCCGGAGCTCCTTGGCGCCGGGACCCGTCAATCTAGAGCGCTATGGGGAAGGATTGGCCCCTCGCGGTCGCCCGCTGCGCCGTTCTGTCCGATTGGAGCACAGTCAGCTTCATCTCCAAACCGTTCCTGTCCTTGACCCAAACCTGTTAAAAGGGCAAAGAGGAAGTGGAACCTTCGCATTTCCCAGCTGGTTCCGAACTCAGCATCACCTTCTGCTCAGCCAACGGTGACCTAAGTTTGCCTCAGTCAATCCCTCTAAAGCTACCCCGCCAAAGGTCACTGGTGATTCCCTTTCGGCTAAATCTAGTCATCACTCAGCGCTTATATTACCTCCTCATAAAATATTTTACTTACTAACGCATATATATGGAATTTTAAAAGACCGTAACGATAACCCTATATGCAAAACAGAAAAAGAGACATAGAACAGACTTTTGGACTCTGTGGGAGAAGGCGAGGGTGGGATGTTCTGAGAGAATAGCAATGAAACAAGTATAGTATCAAGTGTGAAAGAGATCACCAGCCCAGGTTGGATGCATGAGACAAGTGCTCAGGGCCGGTGCACTGGGAAGACCCAGAGAGATGGGATGGGGAACACATGTAAATCCATGGCTGATTCATGTCAATGTATGGCAAAAACCACTACAATATTGTAAAGTAATTAGCCTCCAACTAATAAAAATAAATGAAAAAATTTTAAAAAAATAAAATGAAATATTTGACTTGTTGACCTTTCTTCATTTGATTTCCATAATGCTTCCCCTGGTTTTTCTCCCTCTCAGTTCTCTTCTCTATCCCCTTTGCAATTGCCGAGGCTTTAGCTGCCATCTCAAGTTCTAGTTCTGGTGTTACTAATGGGTCTGTCTTTCATTGCCTTTGTTCAGGCCTCCATTGAAATCCTCAGTTACAGCAGTAGCATCCTTACTGGGCTGTCAATCATACTGCCAAGAGGACTGTAGTCTATTCTTCGTACTGTAGCTAGGACAAGCTGCTTACAGGTCTCTAGTGGAACCATACTCATGATAAAGTACAAACTCTTTACAAGAGTGTCTTCTATTTTTTTCTCAGGCTTCATTTTTCATCAACATTACCCCTCTTTCATTTACCTTCTTCCTTACCCTAATTACTTTGGCTTCTTTCAGTTCCTGGACTTAACAGTGGCCTTGAGACTTTTAGTTTGCATTGCTTTGTTTCTACCCAGAATGATTTCTCCCTGCCTATTCCCTGCTATGCCCAGAATTTGTTTTAGAAATTATTTTCCAAGTAAGCCTTCCTTTCTCTCCATTCACCCTATCTCCACTTACAAGTTGTCCCTCTAATATAGGTTTACCAGATAAAAGACAGGATACTAAACTAAATTTGTAGTTCAGATATGTAACAAATAATTTTTAGTATAATCATATCCTATGTAATATTTGATATCCTATATTTTTATTTGGTAAATCTGCCAACCCTACTTCAGAATGCTTTCCTCTGACAGCTCTTATCACATATTCCAGATGGGTAGGTCTTCCTTATCCACTGCTGAAATTTCTTTTCAGTGCCTAAAATATAATAGGCACTCAAAAGACTTTTTGGTAAATAAATAAAGGAATATTCTGGGTGAATTGTGAATACTTGCTCAATATTCCTTAAGGAATTCTCTTCCATAAAATAGAAGTACTTATGAAATAATGCTCTTTGAAATGTAAACAGTTTTGTTTTGTGGAAATATGACATCTTGTGTTTTATAGTCTGCGGTTTTGTTTGTAGTGGTCATCTTCTGTGTGAGTGTAGTGAAAAGGTAAAAAGAATTATCCATCCTTATTATGACCAGACTCTTTCTGTCCTTTTCAGAGTCTGTCTACTATGTAAACCTATTTATTTACATAAGTAAAAGGGTTAAGGCCTAGTAAGTCAGTAAGTATTAAGAACTTTCTATATTTATGTCATGAACTCTTTAAGCTTCCTCCGATTACTTCAGTCTCTTTGCTGATTGAGAGCTCTTTTCAGATACCCTCTCTTTTTTTGTTCACATCTGTATCTTGCCTGAGTAGGCACAGATCAACAAGGTAGAGATGAAAGGTAATCCAAAATGCCTAACAATATTAGTACCCCAATTACTAACCTGATAGTCTCCTTGCGAGCTTGATTTTTGAGATAGTAATTTCAGG